TGCCCCTGCCCTTGCCCCTCCCTGCTCCTGGCCTGCCCTGCCCTGCCCCTGCCCTGCCCCACCCTGCCCCTGCCCTGCCTGCCCTGCCCTGCCTGCCCTGCCCTGCCCTGCCCATCCTGCCCATCCTGCCCTGCCCTGCCCTGCCCTGCCAGCTCCTCCCAGGCTGCTTTCCCACTCAGAACCCACCTGGAAAGAGAATTCCCAGGGGGCTGCCCAGCTGGCAGGGGCAGAGCTGGGTTTTCCCTCTCCCAGCACCCCCAGTTTGCAGCCCAGTCAGGCTGCTCAGGGGCTGTGGGGAGTTTGCTGGTGTGAAGACAAAAGAAGGGTTTTTTTTTTTGGCTTTGTTTTCTTTTTAAACGTGCAGTGATGTTTGCTAAGTCACCGTGGGCTCCTCTCAGCCCTTTCCCTTTCCTGAGGAATCCCAGTCTCTCCTGTGTTCTCTGGGAGCTGCAGACCTGGATCTGAGGAGCTGCTGAGCTGCTTTGCCTCCTGATAAGCTCCTGTTTATAAATCCACCTCCCTTCCCATGTATCTCCATTTGCTGGGGGGGGTTTTTTCTGATTTTTTTTCCCCCTTTTTAAACTGTACATGAGACATTTTCCTCCTCTCCTGGCTGCCTTCCAGCTGGATTACCCAGCACAGAGCTGCTTCCTCCTCTCCCAGCCCTTCAGTGATGTTATTTTTGTCTTTCTGACAAACCAGACCCTGCCTGGGATGGATTCATCCCTCTGGACCTTCCCATCCCAGGGAGCTGTGGGTGGGAGAGGACCCAGCTCATGGCCCATCCCCAGTTCCATTCATTGGAAACAGCTCCAAAAAAAACCCCCTTATTTCTTCCAAATTCTGTGACTCCTTGAGCTCAACTTGTCACCACCAGGTGTTCCCAGGAGCAAATATTCACAGTGCAGAAACCTCTACAGGTGGGGGCTGAAATTCAGGTGGGTTTTGCAGAGTGGGCCCTTGGATCTGGCCCCAGGAGCAGAGGAATGAGGGACCTTTCCAGGCTCTGCTCCTGCTCTGCTTGCACCTGGGCTGGTTTTGCTGCCAAGAGGCCAGCAAATGACTCTGGGAACCTCTTCCCAGTCCACCCCAGCAAGCTCTGTGGGCCAGGGAGCTGTGCTGCTCTTCATTAAGCCAGGCTTTATTAAACCAAATGTCCCTGTGCTCCTAAGGGATGGGGGATGGCTGTGGTTTCCCTGGCAAACATTTACAGGCTGCAAAGTTTTCCCAAGTAATCATGGAGGGGGGAGAGAGAGAGAGAGAGAAAGGGACAATTCATCATGTTGATGTCAGATCATGGCCTCTTTGTTCCTTGTAAAAGCCAGATCCATCACACTACTCCCCAGCAAGGACACTTGGCAAGGTCCCTGTCACTTGCCTGAGAGATGCCAGCACAGCAGAGGCCACCAGGGCTGGGAAAACTCTGAACCAACCCAACTTTCCCTTTTAATTACCCCTGAGGTCTCCTCCACCTCCCAACCCCTGAGCAGCTCAAGCTGCTCTGAGCAGGGGCCAGAGGGTCCCAGGGGGCCCAGGACAGGTTTCCAAAGTGGTGATTAATGAACTTGGCTTCAGGCAGGGGAAAAGGGTCAGCAGGGTTTGCTGAGGTGTTGGAAGCTGAGCTGAAACCAGCTGAAATTCCTGGGCAAACAGGTCCCCTGGTAGAGATGTGAGGGACTGAGAGAGGGACTGAGAGAGGGACCCTGTGCCCAGGTCCTGGGTGGAGCTGCTCCCATGGAGGACACTTAGAGGTGAGGAGCTTGAGATGCTTTTGGGATGCAGGAGGATGCAGGAGATGTGGGAGGATGCAGAAGGCCATGCAGGATGACACAGGGGTGTGCAAGAGGGTGCAGGAGGGTACAGGAGGACACAGAAGGGTGCAGGAGGGTACAGGAGGACACAGAAGGGTGCAGGAGGGTACAGGAGGACACAGAAGGGTGCAGGAGGGTGCAGCAGATGCAGGAGCTCACCAGCCTTCCTGAGCAGCCTGCCCAGAGCTCCCCTGTGTGTGCAGTGGTTTGAAGACAATAAAAACAACCCTCCTGCCCTGCAGATTTTAGTCTGACATCCCAGCTGGGCTGATGTGTGGGGAGGAGAAGCCCAGTGTTAGCTGGTGAGCAACTGGGATCCCCCTTGGTCTCAGCACAGGGTGAGCAGGACGTGGGGGGCTTTGTCAGAGCCTCTTTCAAACGGGATTAAAAAGGCATCAGCAGGTGAGGAGCATAAATGTGAGTGTGTTGGAGCAAGGCAGCTGGGGAGCAGGCTGCTGCATCCTCCTCAGCCCCTTGCACCCACCCCTGGAGCAGCCCTGCTCTGGGAGCAAGGAAGCAGGGCTGGGTGGGTGCTCTGGGTGCACAGGGTGGGGGCACAGGCTCAGGGGGTCCAGGCTGGGGGTTGGAAGAAGCAGGAGCTTTGTGCTGGTGGGAAAAGGAGTCTGTGGGCAGGGCTGGCCATGCCCAGAGCCTGGAGGCACCACAGAGCAGGGCTGGCTGGTTCCTGGGGCTGCAGGAGCATCCCAGGCTGTGCCCCCCAGGGCAGGTGCTGCTCCCTGCTTGGCTTTGGGCTTTGGTCAAAGGATTAGACACAGCACCTGCCTCTCCTGCAGAGCTTCTCTAGGCAGGTTTTGGGGGGCAGAGGAAGCTCACTTGGTATTTCAGCCCCAAATTCAGTGTCTCCTCAGCCCTGGGCACGGGCAGGGGCAGGACTGAGCTCTCAGGCTGCTCTGCCTTCCCATCCCCTGGCTGCTGCTGTTGCTGCTCCTCTCCTGGCTCCTGCCAATCTTACACTGTGAAAAGAGATTCCCAGGAGCCACGGGGAGCCAGCAGCTCTCTGGGCTGCAGTGCCTGAGAGGTGAAAATCCCCGTGGAGAGGCAGGACATTGTCACTGTCCCAGGCTCTGCTGGGCTGGGCTGCTGTGGGCACAGGCTGCAGCTTCAGGCAGCAAATCATCTCAGCAACCCATTTCTATCCCCCCCTCCCCACCTCTGTGAGGTTTCTGGTTTCTGAAAGTTTCATTCTGTCTCCTGCAGATCAGAGGGGTGACAAAAAGGCCCAGTGCTCAAGGGATGGAAAAGGAAAGAGGGAAGGAAAAGGAGGGGGGGGAGGAGCACAGAGCACCAGAAAAGACATGATTCATATCCCAGTTCTGCTCATGAGTGTCAGGCTGTGCTGTGCTGACTGGCTTGAAACACTGGCCCTGGGCATGGCCTTTCCTTTTCCTTTTCCTTTTTCCCTTTCCCTTTCCCTTCCCTTCCCCTTCCCCTTTCCCCTTCCCCTTTCCCCTTCCCCTTTCCCCTTCCCCTTTCCCCTTCCCCTTTCCCCTTCCCCTTTCCCCTTCCCCTTTCCCCTTCCCCTTTCCCCTTCCCCTTTCCCCTTCCCCTTTCCCCTTCCCCTTTCCCCTTCCCCTTTCCCCTTCCCCTTTCCCCTTCCCCTTTCCCCTTCCCCTTTCCCCTTCCCCTTTCCCCTTCCCCTTTCCCCTTCCCCTTTCCCCTTCCCCTTTCCCCTTCCCCTTTCCCCTTCCCCTTTCCCCTTCCCCTTTCCCCTTCCCCTTTCCCCTTCCCCTTTCCCCTTCCCCTTTCCCCTTCCCCTTTCCCCTTCCCCTTTCCCCTTCCCCTTTCCCCTTCCCCTTTCCCCTTCCCCTTTCCCCTTCCCCTTTCCCCTTCCCCTTTCCCCTTCCCCTTTCCCCTTCCCCTTTCCCCTTCCCCTTTCCCCTTCCCCTTTCCCCTTCCCCTTTCCCCTTCCCCTTTCCCCTTCCCCTTTCCCCTTCCCCTTTCCCCTTCCCCTTTCCCCTTCCCCTTTCCCCTTCCCCTTTCCCCTTCCCCTTTCCCCTTCCCCTTTCCCCTTCCCCTTTCCCCTTCCCCTTTCCCCTTCCCCTTTCCCCTTCCCCTTTCCCCTTCCCCTTTCCCCTTCCCCTTTCCCCTTCCCCTTTCCCCTTCCCCTTTCCCCTTCCCCTTTCCCCTTCCCCTTTCCCCTTCCCCTTTCCCCTTCCCCTTTCCCCTTCCCCTTTCCCCTTCCCCTTTCCCCTTCCCCTTTCCCCTTCCCCTTTCCCCTTCCCCTTTCCCCTTCCCCTTTCCCCTTCCCCTTTCCCCTTCCCCTTTCCCCTTCCCCTTTCCCCTTCCCCTTTCCCCTTCCCCTTTCCCCTTCCCCTTTCCCCTTCCCCTTTCCCCTTCCCCTTTCCCCTTCCCCTTTCCCCTTCCCCTTTCCCCTTCCCCTTTCCCCTTCCCCTTTCCCCTTCCCCTTTCCCCTTCCCCTTTCCCCTTCCCCTTTCCCCTTCCCCTTTCCCCTTCCCCTTTCCCCTTCCCCTTTCCCCTTCCCCTTTCCCCTTCCCCTTTCCCCTTCCCCTTTCCCCTTCCCCTTTCCCCTTCCCCTTTCCCCTTCCCCTTTCCCCTTCCCCTTTCCCCTTCCCCTTTCCCCTTCCCCTTTCCCCTTCCCCTTTCCCCTTCCCCTTTCCCCTTCCCCTTTCCCCTTCCCCTTTCCCCTTCCCCTTTCCCCTTCCCCTTTCCCCTTCCCCTTTCCCCTTCCCCTTTCCCCTTCCCCTTTCCCCTTCCCCTTTCCCCTTCCCCTTTCCCCTTCCCCTTTCCCCTTCCCCTTTCCCCTTCCCCTTTCCCCTTCCCCTTTCCCCTTCCCCTTTCCCCTTCCCCTTTCCCCTTCCCCTTTCCCCTTCCCCTTTCCCCTTCCCCTTTCCCCTTCCCCTTTCCCCTTCCCCTTTCCCCTTCCCCTTTCCCCTTCCCCTTTCCCCTTCCCCTTTCCCCTTCCCCTTTCCCCTTCCCCTTTCCCCTTCCCCTTTCCCCTTCCCCTTTCCCCTTCCCCTTTCCCCTTCCCCTTTCCCCTTCCCCTTTCCCCTTCCCCTTTCCCCTTCCCCTTTCCCCTTCCCCTTTCCCCTTCCCCTTTCCCCTTCCCCTTTCCCCTTCCCCTTTCCCCTTCCCCTTTCCCCTTCCCCTTTCCCCTTCCCCTTTCCCCTTCCCCTTTCCCCTTCCCCTTTCCCCTTCCCCTTTCCCCTTCCCCTTTCCCCTTCCCCTTTCCCCTTCCCCTTTCCCCTTCCCCTTTCCCCTTCCCCTTTCCCCTTCCCCTTTCCCCTTCCCCTTTCCCCTTCCCCTTTCCCCTTCCCCTTTCCCCTTCCCCTTTCCCCTTCCCCTTTCCCCTTCCCCTTTCCCCTTCCCCTTTCCCCTTCCCCTTTCCCCTTCCCCTTTCCCCTTCCCCTTTCCCCTTCCCCTTTCCCCTTCCCCTTTCCCCTTCCCCTTTCCCCTTCCCCTTTCCCCTTCCCCTTTCCCCTTCCCCTTTCCCCTTCCCCTTTCCCCTTCCCCTTTCCCCTTCCCCTTTCCCCTTCCCCTTTCCCCTTCCCCTTTCCCCTTCCCCTTTCCCCTTCCCCTTTCCCCTTCCCCTTTCCCCTTCCCCTTTCCCCTTCCCCTTTCCCCTTCCCCTTTCCCCTTCCCCTTTCCCCTTCCCCTTTCCCCTTCCCCTTTCCCCTTCCCCTTCCCTTTCCCTTCCCTTCCCTTCCCTGACCCGCCCTGGGCTGCAGGAGGAGGAGGAGCAGGGAGGTGGCACCAGGAGGTCCCACGAGGTCCAGCTGGGGAGGTGCAAGCAAAAGGCTGTTCAGGGCAGAGCTGCTTTGTCCCTCGAGCCTTCCTCCAGGCACGGAGGAGGAGGAGGAGGTGCCAGGGTTCCATCTGGCCTGTCCCTTGCCCCAGCAGCTGGCAGACAAGGTGCTGGTGGCTGGGCTGGTGGCCCCTCTCCCTCTGCCCATCCTTCTGGTCCCTGCCCAGAGGGCTGGCCTGGGGAGGTGGGATCTGAGCCCATCACCAGCCCCAGTGCTTGGCTAGAAAGGGGCTGTTACTCTGAGATCTCAGACCTGAGATGGATAAAGACCCCAGTGACCTCACCCTGCCCTCCCAGCACCATTTCTGGGCTTTGGGGGGGGGGCAGAACAAGCCCTTGGGGGGCACAGCTACCCCAGCCCCCTCCCCAGGACCCCTTTGTGCAGAGACCTGACAAATAACCCCCCCTGTGCTGGGGATGGGCAACGAGCACCAGGGGCACATCCAGGGGCATCTGCCTGCTCCAAGGGTGGTGGCTTTGGCAGAGGTGACAGCAGCCCCCCTGGGGAAGGCAGTTGCCATGGAAACCCATCCCTTTTTTTCCCCCTTCCCTTGGCCACCAGAGAACACTTGTTCTCCATCTCCAGGCTGAGGTGGGAAACTTCAACAGGAAGGGGGGGTGGAAACAAATCAAAGGCAGAGGGAAGAAGCCCTGGAGAGGCCATGGTTGGCCCAGCAGGTCCTGCAGCTTGTTGGGTGGAGCCCTGGGGTGACATCCCTTGGGGTCCCTGGGCTCCCCCTGCTCCCACCTCAGCCCCTGCAGCTTTATTTTGGCTGCTGGGCAACTGGGCCAGCATGGAGCTGCCTCTGGGAGGCCCCTGAACTGGAATCCCTGGGGGGACCAGCCTGGGCTCCAACACGTTCTTGGAGGAAAAGGTTGTTGCTGAGATGATTGACCCAGAGGGCAGAGTTAAAGCAGGTTGGAAATTGTAAAAGCAAGATTCCATTTTCCACCTAAACTATCAAGGCTCCCAACAAAGTCTTCCAGTCTCTTTTCTTCTCTCTCTCTCTCTCTCTTTTTTCCTTTCCCTGCTAACAGGCATTTTTGAAGGTCACGGGGCTGCCTTGCTGGGCATTATCAAGTCATTGGCACAATATATTTCTTCCCTCTGTGTATCTTCTCCTGATAATGTATCAAATGCCAGAGCATTAACTGGGGGGGTTGTGGGGGTGTTTGCTGTGTGGGCAGCAAGAACTGAGCTCCCCTGTGAGAGGATGGAGGTGAGAGCAGCACAGGAGGGCAGAGCAAAGGGCTGGGAAAGGTGAGAGACACCAGCAACACCAGCAGAAAGGCTTAAATAAACCATATTTTGTGGGTTGGGTTGTTTTTTCCTGTTTTTCTTCTTTTTCCCAGGTTGCAGGAGAACAATCTGGGTTTTTTAAAGAGCTGAGTTTGACACCTGGTTCTGCCCAAGGTCCCGTGGGGTGGGGGCTGAGTGGAGCTTTGCCTGCACTTTGTGCTAAAGCAGGAGGGGTCTGGAGGGAGAAGATGCTGCTCTGAGCTGGTGCCAGAGGCCTGGCTGGGCACTGCCTGAGCTCAGGGCTCAGGAACATCCCCCCTCTCCACCATCCCAGTGATGCTGAGGTGGCTCCAGGGCAGACTCTCAGTGCTGGTGGCCCCAAAATGTCACATCTGGGCAGGAAAACAGTCCCTAGGCTCTCTGAAGGGTATTTCTGAGACCTCCCTCCTTCCATCCCACTCCTGTGGTCCAGCCTGCAGGACAGGGACCCCCACCTGCCCCTTCCCTGGCCCCCCAACCTGGATGAAATGCTGGCACAGCCTTGGTGCCCTCTTAGGTGGGACAGAGACAGTTTAAAGGACTTGATGTTTCACCTCTTCTGCTTTTCCCATCGCTCATTCCCACTCTGGGGACTGTCAGTCCCCCCAACCTGCTCCTCTGCTCTGCTCCCCAGGGAGTGGCAGGGAGATGAAAGCCCCCCCTGGTCAGACCTGCCTTCTGTGCAAGCAGAAATGGAGCTGGGAGCTGCTTTGTACAGTTCTCCAGGTAAAGCATCAGACACACATGGAGCCAGGATCCCTCTTGGAAAGCAGGGCTGGAGCCTGGCAAGGAAGGATCTGGCCCTGAGCCTTCCCCCAGCTGGGGAAAAGGCTTCTCTGTTCCCCTGTCAGGAAGCAAAGGAGCAGCTTGAGGGCACAAAAATGGGTTTTTGGGGGGCTTGGAGCCCTGGGAAGAGCAGAGAGGATGGAGGTGGCAGCAACCCTGCTGGGGCTGAGCCAGCCCTGCCTGCTGGTGCCCCCAGAAACAGGCTTGGGGAGGAAGGTCTCCAAGGGGAAGAACCAATGAGGGCTCATCCCAGATTCAGGCCACTTCTGTCTCTTTAGTCACCTACTTCCCTCTGCAGTCCCTGGGAAGAACCAGCCTCATGGATCCTCCCTGCCCCAGGGGGGGTTCCCCCAGGACCTGGCACTTTATCTGGGGTTCCCCT